GGCCGTTGTAGCTCAGATCCAGCTCTCTCAGACTAGAGGACTGGGAGCTGAGGACTGAAGACAGAGCTTCACAGCTTCTCTCTGAGAGGGTACAGTCACTCAGTCTGAAGAAACAACAATAAAGGAAATATGAACAAGTAGAAAATATGGCAGCATGTTTAATTCACGATGTATGAACGTGTGAATGTATGTATGTATGAACTCTGTCTGTACTTACAGAACTTTGTTGGAGACTTTGACCACTGGCAGCAGCCTCAGAAGAGCCTCCTCTGAAGCACAGTATTTCTTCAGGTCAAACACCTCCAGATCTTCTCCTGATGACAGTAAGATGAAGACCAGAGCTGACCACTGAGCAGGAGAAAGTTCCTCTGTGGAGAGACGTCCTGATCCAAGGGACTGTTGGATCTCCTCCACTAGAGAACCATCATTCAGTTCATTCAGACAGTGGAACAGGTTGATGCTTTTCTCTGGAGACAAATTCTCACTGATCTTCTCCTTGATGTACTGGACTGTTCTCTGATTGGTCTGTGAGTGACTTCCTGTCTGTGTCAGCAGACCTCGCAGGAGAGTCTGATTGGCCTCCTGGGAAAGACCCAGGAGGAAGCGGAGGAACAAGTCCAGGTGACCATTAGGACTCTGTAAGGCCTCGTCCACAGCACTCTGGTAGAGGCGCTTTGGTTCAGGATTGGGTTTAGAGCGTTCAGACCAGCAAGAGGTTGTTTGTTCTTCTGACAGCAGATTGACACCAGAGCTGAAGAAGGTCAGATGGACATGAAGAGCAGCCAGAAACTCCTGAACACTCAGATGGACGAAGCAGAACACCTTGTCCTGGTACAGTCCTCTCTCCTCTCTAAAGATCTGAGTGAACACTCCTGAGTACACCGAGGCTGCTCTGATATCGATGCCACACTCTGTCAGGTCGGATTCATAGAAGATCAGGTTGCCTTTCTGCAGCTGATCAAAGGCCAGTTTTCCCAGAGACTCGATCATCTTCCTGCTCTCTGGACTCCAGTGTGGATCCGTCTCAGCTCCTCCATCGTACTTGACCTTCTTCACTTTGGACTGAACCACCAGGAAGTGGATGTACATCTCAGTCAGGGTCTTGGGCAGCTCTCCTCCATCTTTGGTCGTCATCTCCTCCAGAACTGTTGCAGTGATCCAGCAGAAGACTGGGATGTGGCACATGATGTGGAGGCTTCGTGAGGTCTTGATGTGAGAGATGATCCTGCTGGCCTGCTTCTTATCTCTGAACCTCTTCATGAAGTACTTCTCCTTCTGGGGGTCAGTGAACCCTCTGACCTCTGTCACCATGTCAACACACTCAGGAGGGATCTGATTGGCTGCTGCACGTCGTGTGGTGATCCAGAGGCGAGCAGAGGGAAGCAGCTTCCCCCTGATGAGGTTTGTGAGGAGCACATCCACTGAGGCCGACTCTGTGACATCAGTCAGGACCTCATTGTTGTGGAAGTCCAGAGGAAGTCGACACTCATCCAGACCGTCAAAGATGAACACGACCTGGAACTTCTCAAACCTGCAGATTCCTGCTGCTCTGGTTTCACTGAAGAAGTGATGAACAAGTCCCACCAAGCTGAACTTCTTCTCTCTCAGCACATTCAGCTCTCTGAAGGTGAATGGAAATGTGAACTGTATGTCCTGGTGGTCTTTGTCTTCAGCCCAGTCCAGAGTGAACTTCTGTGTTAGGACTGTTTTCCCAATGCCAGCCACTCCCTTAGTCATCACTGTTCTGATTGGTTCCTCTCCTCCAGCTGAGGGTTCAAAGAGGTCTTCTCGTCTGATGGTTGTTTCTGGTCTGGCTGGTTTCCTTGATGCTGTTTCAATCTGTCTAACCTCATGTTCTTCATTGACCTCTGCAGTCCCTCCCTCTGTGATGTAGAGCTCTGTGTAGATCTCATTCAGAAGGGTTGGGTTTCCTGCTTTAGCGATCCCCCTCAAACACACGCTGGAACTTCTTCTTCAGGTTGGATTTGAGTTCACGCTGACAATCTGCAGGAAGAAGTCCTGAATGAAGACAACAAAGAAGATCAATGAGTCAAAGAATAGATTTCAACATGTCCTTTCCTGAGAGAAATACTCTATGAATATATTCTGTCCATCTCTTGAGACATTAGTGAAGGTCTCATTCATCAGCATGGTACGTCTGTAGAGAAATCCTCTTACTGCTCTGCAGACGGTCAGCCAGCTCCTCCTGCTTCATTCTCCTCAGAAAGTGCACTGAGATCTTCTTAAATGCTTCTCTGCTCCTCATCTGCTCTTCATCCAGCACCTCCTCATCCCCCTTCTCTGAGCATTCTGGATAATCTGAACTCACAATCTTCTGGATCTTCTTCAGCTCGTTCTTCACAAAAATGAGGATGTTCTCCTCCAGCAGCTGGAACAGAATATTCTGTGAAGGACACCAACTAGAACCATGGAAGCCACCATCAGGTCCATGTTGGACAGACGGACAATCCACTGGTCTACAAAGTGTAGCATGGAGATGATGGTGACCTGAGATGTAAAATTGGTTGTTCATGTACACACCATGAAGATGAAGTCCAGGAGTGTTTGATGCTGCTGGGCAGACAGAACCTCTGAGGTCTCCTGGTCCTCTCTGTGGAGGAACATTAACCATCAGCCTACATTGTGTTTGGACCATGAACGCCAACACATCATTAGTTAAAGATATTAGCTTCTGTCATGATTGATCACCATGGAAACCAGATGCTGAAGACTGTTGGTTATGACAGGTTATTAGTTGAGTGACAGTTAGTCATCAGTTTCATCTGGTTTTAGTTCTTACTGTGGGTCATAAAAACAACGTCTCCAGACTTCTGCATCTGGTACAAAGTCCTATGAAACTACTCCAAACCTCTTTAGTCCGTCCGCTGACCTCTAGAAGTCTCCTTAGACCTTCTGAAACTAGTCTTTGGACCTTTTCACAGAGTCTACTGACGATACTTTGTCCAAACCTCTGCATGGAGTCCAGAGACCACGTCAGCTGGTCCACAGAGTTTATTCTAATCACATGTTCAGTCCCAGTCATCTGTCTCCAGGTGTAACCTCTGCTTATCCTGATGTGGAGGAACTAGCTCACATTGTGTTTACATCTGAGGATGTTTACAGTTAATGATTCACAATTAAACACATACAGACCAGTTAGATGAAGACAATGAGTTGTCATGAAGGATCGTCATGGAAACAACACGTTAAACAATGCACAACTATTTCTGGGATCCATAACTGAGGATCTGAACAGTTCTTCATTTGTTAAGAACTTACTCTGGGTCATAAGAACGGCGTTCATCTTTGAAGTCAATCAGACGATCTTTGGACTGATTACTCTTCATGGACACACATGTGGGTTCAGGAGACTTTCCTCTCTGCTGATGGGACCTGAAAGAAACATTGAGATTACATCATCACGTCATCATCTAATCATGAAGCATCAGCTCACATGGTGTCCGTCCTCACAGAGACCAAAACAAGGTAAAGGTCCATGACGTGAGGTCTCGATGTGGACCACATGACTTGTTTACTTGAGGTTCTGCACTCAATGTATACATGTGTATGGCGAACAACCAATAGGACATCAATGCGCAGGGTAGTGCTCACGCATAAAGAAATAGGTCCCTAATAAACACTACACTCATTTATAGATTCACACTACTCAATAAAATGTGTAAAAATACAAAACATTCTGCTTTACAGATCCCGTTTGAAATTGTACAGTGGTTACATTAGTACATATTATGGTGGTGGTGGTGGTGCCCTGGTTCTTTCTGGGTAACGCCTTGGACCCTGTGCTGTCTTCTCTGGGGAGACGATTTCCTTTCCAGGTGGTCTGTCAATAGTGTGAACCTTTGGCCAAAAAGGCAGTGGTGAAACTTCTTCATGCCCCACACTGGGCTAAGGGCTTCCATGTTGATCTGTGCATAATTGCGCTCAGCACTCGTCAGAGACCTTGACGCATATACAATAGGACGCTCAGACCAATCAGCCATGTTGTGCGACAGGACGCACCAATGCCATAAGTGGACGCGTCGCAGGCCAGGCGTATGGCCCGTGATGGACCACAATGGGTAAGTAGCTTATCAGAGGTTATCAGTCTTTTTGTTTTCTTTGAAAGCTTTTTCACATTTTTCCGAACACTCCCATTTAGTTCCCAGCCGTAGCAGTGTGCTCAGTGGGTGCACTACTGAAGCGAGGTGTGGTAGAAACTTGTGGTAATAGTTGACACGGCCCAAATATGATCTTAGCTGTGACACATTCTCTGATCTCGGGGCTTTTGGCACCGCTTCCACTTTTCTTGTGATTTCTGTAAGCCAAATCTGTCAATGATGTGACCACAATATGATATCTCAATCTTGAAAAACTCACATTAATCTCTCGCCCTTAGGCCATAGTCACTTAGTCTTTTGAGCACTATGCTGAGGTTTTGGAGATGATCTTCAGCATTCTTTAATAACACTGTGTATATCTTAATAACACGGTTATTAACTCGGTATATCCTGAAGTACTTGCTCCATCGCTCTTTGCCAGATGGCTGGAGCAGATGTGACGCCAAATACAAGCCTATCATACTGATACAGTCTCTTATGCGTGTTGATGGTTACCAACTTCCTACTTGATTTCTCTACTTCCATCTGAAGGTAGGCCTGAGACAGATCAATTTTTGAAAACGTCTTCCCTCCAGCTAGTGATGAGAAGATGTCTTCAATTCGTGGTAGAGGATACTCTACAGTACGCAGCATCGGATTAATGGTCACCTTTAAATCGCCACATATGCGAACACTCCACTTTTCCCTTTTTTAATCACTGGAACAATGAAGCCCAGTCGTGTGACCTCTGCTGATCCTGATGTGGCTGAACTAGCTCACATTGTGTTTATTTAATTTCTGTACTTCATAACTGAGGATCAGAACAGTTCAACTGTCTAAGAACTTACTCTGGGTCATAAGAACGGCGTCCATCTTTGAAGTCAATCAGACGATCTTTGGACTGATTACTCTTCATGGACACACATGTGGGTTCAGGAGACTTTCCTCTCTGCTGTTGTGACCTTAAAGAAACACTGAGATGACATCATCACATCATCATCTAATCATGAAGCATCAGCTCACATGGTGTCCGTCATCACAGAGACCAAAACAAGGTAAAGGTCCATGACGTGAGGTCTCGATGTGGACCACATGACTCCCTGTAGTGGTTTAGGTCTACTGGTCCTGCTGGTCCCACTGAGAATAAACAGCTCAGTCTATCAGCTCCATGTTTTCTTTCTCTCCCTCCCTCCCTGGACACTGCTGAAGGGGCCTGGAGCAAGAAACCCAGAACCTCCACCAGAGAGTCTGATAGAAACACCTCATCATCAGCCTGAGACCCTCACCTTGCATCAACAGAGGGACCATCTTTGAAGTCTAGAGGAGGACTCGTAGACCGTATACGCTCCATGTTCACACAGCGGCGTTCAGGTCCAGGATCAGGTCCAGGTCCTGGTCTCTTTTGGATCCTGGTCACACATGTAGAACCAGAGTCAGTGAGTCAAAGACGTTGGGACATGGAGAAGAGTGGAGGACAGTTGGAGATTGTCCTCTCACCTCTGAGCTGTGGTCTGGCTGTCATGTTCCCCACACAGAGGAGCTTCAGAGGGACGGACTCCGTCCTCTGGGTCCTCACCCTGATTCATAGCAGAGTCCACAGCTTCACACCTTCACAACCACCTGCTGGGAGAGCTCACACATTATTATCTTCATCAGGACAAACACACAGAGCTCATTCACCTCAATACTAAGGCCCAGGTGAGCTCTGTGGTCCCTGCTGGGTCCTAGTGCCCCTCCGTCTGCTACCTTCCCCTCCTCATCAGTAACAGTCCTCACAGACCCCAGATCAGACTGAGCTCCTCTTCTTCATCACAGCGTCATCATTCAGACTACAGCAGCTCCTCTCTGCCTGCTCACACAGCGCCATCTTGTTTTCCCAGCTTTAAACAATCACACCTTCACACCATCAATGATGTCATTCACCAATCCACAGCTGCACTTACTGAGCTTGTAGACATGAACTTCCTCAGTGAGCAGCTCTCTTCTGTCCTCAGCAGGTCCGTGTAGAAAAGGAGCTCCGTGCTTCACTTCAGCTTCCATCAGACGGAGTGAAGTGACGCAGCTTGTTAGAGCTTGTTGTCCTTCATCAGAGAGGGTGTGTCCTCACGTCACCATCAAAGTATGCGGTCTGACTGGTTGACTGAGTCTCAGTCTGCGCTGTTTACAGGGTCAAAGGTCCTCGTGAACAGAATCCTCCTCACTGCTCAAACAAGAGTCTTTCAGGATCAAAACCAGCATCTGTGGAACGATCCTTCCACCTTGTAAAGAGTTGCTATGACAACAGACTGGATGCTGTAGTTTGGACCAGATGGTTCAGAGGACCCGTGCACGTCCCTCTTTGTCTCCTGGTCTTCTTCTACATGTAGACTAGTAGGGAACACGCGATGAAGCAGAAACCTTTGTAACAAATGTTGTGAAGAGTTTATATTGAATAAAAACATCCACTAAGACAACAGAGTCTGAGCTGAGAGTGTTTTTATTCTTCACTCCACTTTGATGATCAGGTTGAACCTGTTGGGGCGGAACAACTCACCCACGTATCAGTGTGAAGCTGCTTGTTAAACCATTTACCTTTATGACAAACTGCAGCTTCCTCAAGTACATGTTGTTACATGCAGCATTCTACTTCCTCATCGCATGGCACATAGTTTTCTAAATTCTTCACAAAATGTTTAGCTTTTTTTGGATGTTAAAAATGCGACAAGTTCATTTAGATTTCCACTAAATGCTAAACTGAACCACAGACCTCTTATATTTGCTGAAATCAATGTATACTAGAAAATATTAGTGCAACGTATTTTAATTCTGCATACAGTGGTATAAAGTGACTGCCTTTCTTTGGTGGAAACGGATATTTCTATTACATTTTACTATTCACCATTTGGTGGAACCTTATTTTGGAAAAATAAGTCAACGGCAGGAGAACTTAATCCTGTGTAAATTGTACCATAAATTACACATTAATGTGAAAGACGGACCACGTAAAAATGTCAGTAACTATCACAGATATTACGACGTCTGTGACTGCTAACTAAGCTAGTTAGCTAAACGACGTTACATTTTAACGTAGCTAAGTTAGCTAAATAAAGTTACATTTGGAGTAAAGCGTAGTGATGTGAACCGTAGTGGTTTAAAACAGAACAAGTTGTGTTTCATCCAGTGACTCTTTTTGATTGGTCCAGCACAAGGAGGCGGGGCCTCAACACTATTTGCAAACATAAACTTCCAATTAGCAAACACAACGTTAGCACTAATTGCTAGCATGCACATTTCCCAGCTTTCATGTCTCAATAAAAGAGTCTTTAGTGGCCTCTTACCGACCCGTAACAATGACAGCTATTAGCATTAGCGATTAGCACTAGTTATATTACTATAACGGTAAATAAACTTATTATTTAATAACTAAGCTGTTTAGGAAACACAAAAAATATTTTAGTTTTAATCACAGCGTTGCAGAATATTTGGGCTCTTTATGCTGATATTGTTCTGTTTGTTTCAGTATTTCAAACACATTGTTTTATCAGTTATATTTTATTTCTATAATCTGAAACAAATGATGACTAAATAAGTAAAGACGAGTTGATCTCAGATTGATTCCCGTGTTTTAGGAAGAAGACTTTTTATACAAACATTGATCCAAACAAGCAGAACCAGAGGAAGAAAGGTGCAGCATCAGCTGCTGTTGACGTGGTTCTGGACTCCCGGTTCTTCTCGGCTCGGCGTGACGTCGTCACACCGCCTGATGAATGTAGTTTTTATACAGTCAGTTTATTATCTACTGGGATTTGATGAAAAGAGTCTTCACTTGAGCGTAACTCAATCCTACGATGACAAAATGACAAAGAAATCCAGATGTTTTAATGATGTTTGTTTTTATCTCACTTCAGGTCAGTCAGTCGGACAGTTTTTCAAAATAAAAACCCTGAAAATAATTGTACTCAAAGCTATGCATCCAAACGGAACAACACAGGCGTCTTTTTCTAAACCATGTGAAGCTTTGACATGTGTGTGTGTGTGTGTGTGTGTGTGTGTGTGTGTGTGTGTGTTTGCCTCGTTGTGCGATCTGCTGATCGATGTGGACGTTTTATAAAATCCTATCATAACTGAGTGATGTGTTTCATGAGAAAATGACCTCTGACCTGTGTGCGTGTGTGTGTGTGTGTGTGTGTGTGTGTGTGTGCATGTTTGCCCTCTCTAAGGGAAGAGGAGAGAGGTGTCCGGGTTTGGGGTTCACGTCCTGTTCTATTTTGTAGTTTTCTGCCTCTTGTCTCCCTCGGTAACTTCACTTCCTGCCTTGTCCTGCCTTCCCCTCCCTTCCTGATAGACAGTGATGGCAAAGTGAAGCTTTCCAGCCAATTGTATCGGATAAAGGTTCATTCATTCAATGCATTGCAAACTCTACGATGACCTCTGCTGTTGAAAACGTGTAGTGCAAATGGTTCGAATAGCCTACCAGTATATTTTGGCCCAATCTCTGATTATGAAAAGTTGAACCAATAAATCATCTAATAAATACATGGGTTCCTATATGAATAAAACTATTGTTGTTCAGGTTTGAAGTGTGTCCTTGTTTGTGTATTTCAATTCTCTGAACATTGGCAAGAAGTGGAACAATATATATATAATTATAATTTAAAATACCAGCAAGTGCTTCCTACTGCACGTGCAGTTCATGGCAGTCATAGGGACTTTATGTGAGTTGTTTGAATGTCACACCGAGCTCCTCTCTCACGCTCTCGTTCTACCACAATCCACGTTTTATTAATGCACATCACTAATTCTGCTTCTTTCCGGGAGTTTTTTTCTGTTTTCTCCCCTAGCAGGTCTCCGTAGATCGTAGTTCCTTCGGGACCCTGGTCCTGACACCTGCCGTGGCCCTGCTGACACCTGCTGCTGCCATCATCATCTTCATCATCATCATCATCATCATTAATATTATTTGAGATATTAATCATATTACTGTACTGAACATCCATAATTACACAATACAAATGACAGACTTTGCCTGCCTGTTACAAACCTTGTTAGAGGAAATCAAATTGAAGTGATCCCACATCTCGGAGCGACCTCTCTCTGCCACAGGTTCCATTGGAAATGTGCTCTTTGCTACGACTGCTACTACTGCTACTACTGCTGCTACTACTACTACTGCGACTACTACTGCTACTACTACTACTACTACTACTACTGCTACTACTACTA